GGAATCAGAAAATAGGTTCCGGGTAATTTCAGATCCATTGGAGAATGGGGGCATGCTCATGGGGGAGAAGGGGCCTGGGGATCTAAGGCAAAACAACCCAACGGAGGGGGAAGGGAAGCAAAAGACCCAGGTGCGGGCGAAAGGCACAGGGAGAAAAGATAAGGCAATAGGAGAAGGGAAGGGGAAGGAGAAGGGAAAGGAAAAAGAAGAGAATCAACATGGGAGCATACAACTGGCCTCGGAGGAGGCTGCAGCAACTGACCCCAACCTGAAAGGACAATCCCCTAATCTAAACCCGACCGATGTTGTGCCCGCAACTGCTACAGAAGGGACTCCCTCTAAGGCAGACCCATTCTTCCAGGCCTTTGGACCCCAACCCATGGACTGGGAAGTTTCGGGGGTTGCCCCGGACGAGGAAATGCTGGATAGCACACCTGAGGCCTGGGGATCTCAGGGCAAGGAAGATATTGAGACCAAGCTAATGGGCCTGGCTGAGTGGCTGATCAGTCACCTTCAGTCACTATATTCAAGCTAATCAGAGGAATATTGGGATGAGGCTTATGTGCAACTATTCTCCCTATTAGATGAAAGCCCCAACTTGAAACAAGCCCTGCAGCAAGGCCTGTCCCAGAACCTGGATTGGCAATCAGCATTACACAGAATCTGGAACATTGTTCACCTTAAGTTCCAGCCTCCCGAAAGAAAAACAACACCAGCACCGGTCTAGCATAAAACATCCGATCACAAGCAGCCCAAGGATGGTGATGTTTCAGGCCACACCTACATTTCCCTCCCCCTGGACGTCGCCCAACCAGTAGGGCATGCAGAAGGAACTGAACAAAGGAAGGAGGAAGAAACAATAAATACAGATGAAGCAGGTCTTTCCAAACGAGCAAAAATACTTCACCTTATTGAAAAAGGAATGTACCACAAAAACCTACTGAAAGGAGACAAAGTTTTGATACTTCCCATTAGGAAGAGGACTGGGCAATGGGAACTGGGTCTATCTCCGGCGGACCAAGAAGACTCATACGCCCAGACCTACGGTGGGATGACTCTGCACGGATGGCACATGAAGAGGGAGGGAATACTACGCATCCACGAAATTACAGACTTCATCACAAATAAATACGAGCCGGGGGCAGTGGCCATCATCAACGTATCTTCGGAGAACCTGAAGATGGCCTATAAAGACGTCTACGTGAGATTTGAGGACAACAAAGAAGCAGGGTTACAATGACTCACACACAACCTGCTCCTGGACACCCAGTAACTAAAAATCAAACCCAACAATATTTGGTCAACAGATGACCTACTTACCTGCATATACTCAATACTTAGAAATAACATTCTTAACAAGGGAGTGAATTGGGATATACAGGATTTGTCACCATTCCCAATATAATAGTGAAAATAAGGAATACACAAAGCAAGAATGGACTGGGTAGAAGTGGTGTATGGTAAGAACCAAAAGTGGAAGCACACTCTTCAGCGAGCTGACCTGGATATTCGTTCAATTAATGTGAACGGTCTAGCCTCACGCAACCCTGACAAGAACAATGCGTTATGAGACTTGATACGAAGGGTGGCGGGAAGAACGTGGCCGGATGTAATTTGCATCCAGGAAACCCACGTGATGGACTTGCCGGACTATCACAGGGCACATAAGCAAGTTTGGCCCTATCTAAAATACCAGGTCTTTGCCCCTACACCAGGAAGTGCGGGGGTGGCCATATGGGTACCACCCGAATCTCGCCTCCAAGTTCTCGACTGGGAACAAGACAAGGTGGAAGGAAAGTGGGTCAGAGTGCTGGGCATGTTGGAATTAGAAATAGTATGCATTGTTTCCATCTACGCTCCTAACACTCCCCAGGAAAGATGAACCTTTTTTGAGAAAATCGAACAAATCCCGGTCCTCGATATCTCGATAATAATAGCAGGGGATTTCAACGCCGCACCAGATAGGTGGCTGGATCGTTGGAAAATCCCGCCCTCTACCGCACGCAATGCGGAGGAGGACGAGGGGATCATAAGGGACTTGTGCACTACTCTCTCACTTTTCGACACCTACAGGCGAGGCCATCCGACCGAAAAGGTATTTACGTGCTTGCGTAACAACAACCCTGATAGACTATCCAAATTCAGAATCGATTTTATTTTGGCTTCAGAAGACCTGAGTGGAGGACTAACCTTGACGGCGATACTGCCAATTAGCCCGCACCCAGGCCTGGACCACAGAATATGCGTGGCAGTCTGGACTTTCCGGAAACGGCCAGATCAGGGAGCCAGCTATTTCAAACTCAATACTTCTCTGCTCCGGCTAAAATCCTTCCAAAAGTACATACAGCAGACCTGGGCCTTCTGGAGAGACCAAAGACCTAAGCAAGAATCTCCAATTGCCTGGTTCAACAACGGTTTGTTCTTCCTGGCAAAAAAATGCAACGAATACTCCAAGCATATAACCGCACAACGATACCAACAGGAAATCTTGACAATGCAAAATCTCATGGAAGCCGAACAAAAACAATCTTCGCAAGGGCAAGAAATAGGGCAAGACTCGTACTTAGAAGAACCACAATCCCAGATACCAGATTTAAAAGCCCAACTCCTGAAACATGCACAATATCGTTGGCAAGGTGCCCAGATTAGGGCAAGATTATCGAATCTCTCAACCGAAGGAGTAATGGATGCCCAGTTTTTTAAAATGGCAGGACCTCGTTGCAAAAGAACCACAATTGAGGCACTCTATGAACCACGATCCATGGATTCAGACCTGGCCATCTCTACAGCAAGGTGTGCCAAAATAACATACGATTTTTACAAAGACCTCTTTACCTCTCACATAGACAAATCTAACCCACAGGACCACGAACGACATCTAATTGACTTTTTGAAACCAATGGATAGATCCTTGACTCCCGAACAGCGGGATTCCTTGGAAGCCCCAATCTCCAAATAGGAAATCTGGACCGCCCTTCTTCAAATGAAGGAGGAAAAAGCGCCTACGTAGCATTACTCCTAGGGGGAAGTTGAACCACCAGTACTTCCTCTTTTTTTTTTTTTTTTTTTTTTTTTTTTTTTTTTTTTTTTTTTTTTTTTTTTTTTTTTTAAAGCCCAGGTTGTTGTAGAGGTGGGATATTAGACGGATGGAAGTCACCCATAGTACTTGGCCACTCGGTTGTCCAGATGAACCCCTTTGAAGACCCCACCCACCAGTACTTCCTAAAGTCGTGCCCCTATGCTTGCAGGGGTTCGACTTAGTTGGTCAACTTAGGGGCTGGCAGGAGATTGCTTGGGCCTGGTGTCCGAAGTTCCGGTGCGACAAGGTTCGTTCGACTCCGCTTCCACCGGGGCTGGGACATGGCTAATTTTAGGGCCTGTCACTACTCTTCGGTCCAAGTGACACTCAATACGAGTAGGGTAATGGTCCTGAGTGCTGGTCACACTGAGGTAGGATAGTAGAGATAGGGGGTGCGCTAGGAGTATTGTCGGGAGGATGGGATGGGAGGTAGCCTCGTTCCCTCAGGGCAACCATGGCTGACGGTTCCAGGCGATCGATGTGTGCCTAGTAACTGGCCTCTACAGTGTCTACAGCACCCTGGGCTTTAAAAAAAAAAAAAAAAAAAAATCAAAAAAGGAAGTACTGGTGGTTTAACTTCCTCCCCACTACCTTCCTGCTGTCCCGGATGCTGAGGGGAAGAGGTCTCTCTTTTCCCAATGCCTGGGATATTAGTCTGGGGACCCAGACCGAACACCAGATTGACCACTCCCCTTGGGAGAGGCTCCTCAAGTTGCTGTTTCCAGCACCAATGGAACTCTTGAGTCTGAACAGTTACCTGTGTAACCTTCCTGTACATGGCCCCAGGCAACTTGAAACTTGTGCTCTACCGGCCCACTTAGAAGGAGAGTTTCCTCTTCCCGGTTGAAAAACACATATGCGGCTCCTATATGGCTGCAACTTTGGGGAAGTACTGGGGCGGCGTTTCACTGGATATCCATCTAGGTAAAACGGGCCTCGCATGCGACCCATTTTGCCTGGATCGAAACGGCAGCCCAGCACTTCCCGAGAGTCGCGTCTGTATACACATGACTCTAAAAGAATAACTGGAGGCTGGCACTGGTGATTTAAACCACCAGTACGTTTCTCAGCCGTTTTTTTGCAGAAGCGGGTTGCATGTTGCCGCAACTTTCGGGGCTCGGCCTGTGGAGCAAAATGGCTTGCGGCGCCAGCCAGAAGGAGGTCGGTGCAAGTTCATTTTTCTTTGGTGGGCAGGGCGTTTCCAGCCCCGGAGAAAAGTGCCTCGGAAGTAGCAGTGGTCTCTTTTTTTTTTTTTTTTTTTTTTTTTGGAACCCCACCAGTGTTAGTGGTGCTGATAAGAGCAGACACCACTAGCATCTGGGGAGAGGCTCCATCTATTCGTGGGGAGCATCACCTGCTAGAAAGCGGGTCCAGCGTCCCATATACAGACTGAAATTAGAGTACATTCAGAGGAACAATGTAGGAGGTTCCTGCCAGCATTGGTTTCCCTTTAATCCATGGGATTGACTGAGCAGGACACTTGAAAAGAGGAAAAAAAGGGGGGGGGGAACCTCTTCTCCCGGAACCTAGCGCCAGATACCTGCTGCTACACACTAGTTCCTGCCATTCTTGGAAAATGACCGAAAAAAACTGCCAGCATTTTTTTAATTGCTCTGGATTCCAGAGGATTAACTGAGCAGGTTGTGGAAGGTTCCACCCACCCTATCTAGCCTTTTTTCTTTCTTTCTTTCTTTTTTTTTTTTTTTTTTTTTTTTTTTTTTTTTTTTTTTAAACAACCTGAACTGGCGCTAGAGATGCTGGTAAGAGCAGGCACCACTAGCGCCGTCAGGGAGGCTCCATCTATTGGTGGGGAGCAGCACCTGCTGGAAAACGGGTCCAGCATCCCTTGACATGGTAATCATTCAATTATGTAAACAAAAGATTGTGAAGATTTGTAACATGTGTGCGTAATAGGATCTGTGATGATGAGCAGCATTGATTGCCCTCCAAGGAGAGGATTAACTGCTCATAAACCATACCTTCGCTACCCCATCCGTCGAAGCGTAAGCCATTCAACAACACACACAGGCGGGGGGGAATACACAACTATTGACGGGCATCCACATCAAGCAGTCTGGAAAACAAGCATCCTACACAGTATAGCAATCATCCATCACGAACCAGGAAGACAACGGAAACCCTAACCGATCCCCCTACCGCGTGAGGAACTACCACCACCCCTTCCTGAGTGGAATTGCGGACCGGGCAACTCCACACACCACGAACTACCCCACGCCCATCCGCTGCCAATCAGCTGTTCTAAACGCCCCACTGCATCCGCGGGTAATCTCCATATCCTCCTTGGCCTCATCGCCATCACCATGGCTATCGTTGCTGTGAATATTATCGGTGCTATCATTGTCAGCGACGCCGACAGTAACACCGTTATTGTCGCCGGTCTCTTTCTTGTCGATTTTATGTCCACAGTTATCGTTCGTTACCTCAAAAAAGTTGTAATTGATATCCTCGATACAATTGATATCTTCAAACTGATTGTTGTCGTTGTTGTTGATGTCGTTGTTGTTGTTTTTGTCGGCATCATCGTTGGTGTTATTACCACCCCCGCAGCTATTGATGATGTCATTGTTGTCCTTATCATCGCACTCGTTATTCATGTTGAGGCCATTGTTGCCTCTGTTGATGATGTCATTGTTCTTGTTGTCATCGCATTCGTTGTCGATGTAGAAGTTGTTGTTGCCGCTGATTTCCTCAATTGTTGTCGCTGGCGATGTCGGCGTTAATCCGCCGGAGCAGCCCAACAATCCTTCCTCCAGAGTAGCACAACGATCCTGCCCTATCCTGAAGATGTCGTAGCATCCATGCATAAGTTGGCCAGCTCGATGCCAATCCACAAACTCGTCGATTGGAGGAGCCGGCCCCTCCTCCAACTCCCAAATAACGTCGAGCATGGCCTGCATCTTGTCCTCCAGCCATGGCGCCAGTGAAACCGTCCCCCCTACAGTCCCTAACTGACCCCCCTGGCTCGCAAGCAGAATATCCACGACCTCTTGCAGACGGCGACCGCCTTCTTCAATAATCTGCAACCACTCAACCGCACCACGCCGTAAGTCTTCATCAGAATCCATGYCGTYCATGTCGTCCCMAAAAACGCGCCGTCAGATCTCACAAAGCAGACGCCTCACGCTAACGTACCGTCTCCTAGTGTACGTGGCGGATTATCCACCATCGCCTGAGCAGATGACCAAGCGAACACCACAGTGACCAAGAACAGCTATTGTCCCCGTCCATGGAGTATGGCTGAACCTCGCCAGCCGGTCTGTAGCGCAGGTCAGGGCTAAGCGTCAACGCGTTTCTCATTGGGTATTAACCCTGCTATCCTTAGCCTGTAGACGCCATGGGGCCAATGGGGGGCACCAGTGGAGCCCTGCATCTCCCTACCCATTCCTCTCCCAGACTGCCTTATCATGTGGACGTAGCCCCTCCCTGACGCCCTTTCCTAAGGGTGTAAGTGGAACTTCACAAATCTTCCAACTTGAGGGAGTGGTGCTGCTGGAAGCGGGCGCACTCTCTCTTAGGCTTGGAGCCCACAGCTTTGCAGATGGAAAAGATTATTGGCCACGAAAAGCAGGCAAAGATTTTTGCAAAGTCTGGCGGAAACGATTTTGCTGGACCCCCCCCCAAATCCAGCGTCTCTTTTGTTGCTGCCCATTGCTGGGACAGCCTACTACGGGCTGTGGGGCGATAGGTTGAGGGGGGGGCAGCACGACCGGGAGCGCTGTGCCCCGCCCGCGCAGTCGGGCTGAGCGGCACCGAGCGGTGACACGCGGCGGAACGAGGCGAAGTTGGACCGAGTGGCGCCGGACGACATCAAGCGGTGGAGCGGTGCGATGTTGGGGGGAGTGGATTCGGGGTGGTGTGAGGTGGCAGTTGAGAGGCTTTCAAGTTGGGTGAATGAATGATGATGGGAAGGATGGTGACGAGGGTGGTGCATCGTGCGTAGAGGATGAGGTTGCTACGAAGAGGCTTCTTGTGAACGGCTGCAACGGGTATGGTCTGCCAGCATCATCATCTGAGCTACGAATCACGGGGTGTCACGTGTCCAACGAGTGAATCAGGTGATAAAGGGCAAGGAAGGGCATGGTAGGTCTGTTTCCCCCCGGACTACCAGTGAGGGGTCACCGACAAGTTCGGTGGTTTTGTCTTGCTACGTGGCAAGTGAGGGATAAAGTGAAGCCACGGTCCATTAGTCCTTATTGTTATGCCTTATGTTTTGATGGCCGAGAGAGCGGCCACGTGATGGTTGAGTTGCCTTCGGGCCGATAAGGGAGGGGGTGAAGGTTTGGGGGGAGACAGACACAACATGATGAGAGGTCGGTTCGTATGCTTGTATCCATATTTTTTAGGAATGCCTGTTGCTCTTCGTGGCTGGAGGATTGAGTGATCCCCATTTCCTTACGATCTAATTTTTGCCCAATTTTATAAGTGTAAATCTGAGTTTTGATTCCGATTTCTGTTTTTCGAATCTAATTTTTTGAATCTTTTGGATTTTTCTATTTTGGATTTCTCATGATGGGTAGCTTAGGTTTTCAATTCGAATTTGATTCAAGATAGCGGGCTCATGAATGATTTCAAAACTTTTCGAATGATTCCCGATTTCATCACCCTAACTGGATTATTCCACGATTCTCAAACCGTGGTTTGGGGAATCAGATTCAAAAATCCCTTTGGATATCCAAATCTAAAAGTCATCGCATATGTCTAACCCTTAATTTGAAAACTGTTTCCCTATTTTGAAAATCGAAATATTTCGTATTCTGTTTTTTTCTATTCTTCAGTCTCTTGATACTGATAGTCATAAATCAGATTTTGAATTATAATCTCTAGAACTTGATTCTCAATAGTGACTCTAACTCAGTTTTAAATTCGGATTGCATGAAGTTTACCCCCCCTCATGAGTTAGTTTTGTTGTGGGGCAGGCAGGTGAAGGTTCTGATCAGTTCAGAGGTTTGGGTAGGGCTGACAAGTTTCAGATGGTGGATCACTTTCGTTTTTCTTCTGCGAACTATGTGGTGGAGGAGGTCGGTTTGTCGCAAGAGGAAGTCAATGGTTGTCTGCTTTCACTTTTCTTCATCTCGCGAACTATGGGTGGAGGAGGTCGGTTTGTCGCGGGATGCAATTGAATAAGGGGGTCTAGGGAGATTGTGGGTGGGGATCAATTGTCTTTTACCTGCCTATGGAACAAGCGTGGGACTGAAGTGGAGGGGGGAAGTTTTTTTATTGGTAACATTGCGTCCTGCCGGTGAGGAGGGCTAGCTGGCGAGATTGGATTAGGGCACAACTGCAGTTGAGATGGTGGCTTAGCTGTTATAAGTCTGCGCCGGAAGGTGGTAAGGGGATGGGAGGTTAGGGTGCTACGTCTGTTTTGCAATAGAGTGAACTACTTCTTCCTCCTCCTTCGAACTATGTGGTGGAGGAGGTCGGCATGTCGTAGGAAGAGGAAGAATTGAGTCTGTTTTTCATCGCTATGGGATTTTTGTGAGGTCGTTGGTCGATTGCTCTTCTCTCCCAAACTATGTGGTGGAGGAGGTCGACTCGTCGGGAGATGAAGAAGAGTAGGGGGTGAAAGGAAATGGGAGGATGACTGACTGTTTTCTTTTCACCAAAGCCGGGTAATGGTCCAGGTATCTCAAACCTTCAAAATTCTATTCAGCTGCTTCTGGCTGTTATATTCATAGGTCTGCAGTCAGAACGACGCTGGTTGGTGCTGGAAGAAAATGGTTGGATATTAAGTGTCCTACGAGTGAGGGGGTTAGCTGGTAGGATGAAAATAGGGTACAGCAGCGGCGGAGATAGTGGCTCTGCTGCAGTAAGTCTTACCGGAGTGAGGTAAAGAGGATGGATGGGGGGTTCTGAGACGTTTTCTGAAACTTTGCCTAGGTGAGTGGGAGAAGATGGTTGGATATCAAGCGTCCTACTAGTGAGGGAGCCAGCTGGTAGGATGATAATAGGGTACAGTAGCAACAGAGATGGTGACTTTGCTGCAGTAAGACTTACCGGAATGAGATAAAGAGGATGGAGGGGGGTCTGAGTCTTTTCCTGAAATTTTTGCCTATTTTCGGTAGCTTGTTTGTATTTCTTAATCTATCTTTTAGCCTAAGCCGGGTAGTGGCCCCAGTACCACAAACTTTCAAAATTCCTTCAAAATTATATATAAATTTTTATATGGGACGCTGGACCCGGTTCCCAACACGTGTTGCTCCCCACGAATAGATTGGAGTTTTGTTCCCATTAAAAAAAAAAAAAAAGAGCGGTGCTGCTATCGCTCGATTTCAGATCCCTGTTCTGCCATCATGCCAAAGACGACTGGGTGTTACAACATTCGTATTTCCAGGGACTGTGGGTGGGGAGGGAACGGATCCGAAAAATCCTCTGTTAGTCTAAGGGGGACATTAGGGTCAATAGACATCCAGTCTTTAAATCTCAATGTATAATCCCGTGGCACTGCCCCCCTTCCCTGTCCTTCTTCCCCTTCCTCACTTCCATTCCAGTCCCCTGACCAACATACCTCTGCTATCTCACCCCTCTCGACCCCCTCCCAGCCATTCCTTAGAGAATTGCACTAGCCTCTCTGCGATGTCCTTTGGCTTATGGAGGGTATCTAGAGCGAGTTTGACTCATTTCCATTTGTTCTTAAGTTCCAATTGAATGTGCTGTTTAAATTGTTCAATCCTCTCCTCTCCTTCCACACGAACTTGGTCTAAAACTAAAGCGCAACGTTGCCACCATAGAACCCATAGGACTGTTTTTCGTCTCAGATGAAACATGTTCCAGGCAAAAATGTCCCCTTGGAGAGGCGGGTAGTGGCCCATGAGAATGGCTCGCCACTCCCACGGCCACCGATGGTCCGGAACAATTTGTTGTCATATCCTATCCCACCATCTCCAGGTAGGGACTGTTGTCGGGCATTTCAGAAACATGTGTTCGATTGTTTCTGTTCTCTTCCTTATTGGGAAGCCCGACAAGCATCGTGGGCACCAAGGGAGGGCACGACCCTATTGTTTCGAATGGGAGTGATCGATCAACCAATCATTTGTTGGTAGACACCGATGTAGGATTTGCCATTGCAGGGACGTAATTTTAGCAGGTCTGCACTTGGCGTCACGAAACCATTGGATTGGTGTGAGAAGTTGCTTTTCCACATTGAGGTGCCTATGCCATCTGTCGATCATTACGTCTCTTAGGCACCGTTTAGTTCTGAACATTTTTCACTGAAAAATTTGCCAATGCCTTGGAGCTTGACTGTCAGGGATTGTGTCTTATGTCTTGGTTACAGACCCATTCCAACGGATCTATGGGTAGGTCTCGCATGACCATCCCAAGCATAAATGTCCGTCAGTTCTCCCCTTCCCCTATAATTCTAATTCTGTATAGGGCTGCTCTCGGGATCAACTGGAAGGGGTTCCGGTTTCCAACTCAATGACCATCTTTTTTTATGTTATACCATTCGATCAACGCGTCCTCCGACCGTACAAGATGGATTAGGCCCACCCGGTTGGTTCACCCATCCTTGGACACCGAGTCCCCGTCCTGCAGCACTGGGTCTTTGTGCAGGATGTGCAACCATCGCGCTGTCCAACGTTGATTCTATATTGTGACAATATCTTAGATTTCCCTTCATCTTCTCCGGTCTCTTCCAATCCTTCTTTTCAGTTTCACAAAGATCGACCACTCGGGTTACCCCATTCTTCACCCATCCTTTCCATGGGGCGTCGGAGCTGCAGAAAATCTGACTCTGCCCATTAGTGATCCAACGGTTGCTGAAGAGGGGTTGTCTGGCTACCTCCTCCCACCTGCCAACACGGGGGAGGGAGCCTCCTCCAATTTTTTAGCAAACGGGGCCAGAAATCATCCTTCTGCCTCTCCCCACCTCAGGGACGTTGTGATACTCTCCAATAGCGGTCGTCTAACCATTGAAGAGGGTGAACGGTCGAGGGAGCCTCAAGGGCAAGGCGGACAATCTGCTGAAGAGCCAATGGTCGTCATACAAGTGGGTTTGCATAGATCAATTTCACAATCCATTGTAGACTAAGGGCTTCACTAGCGGTTAATGGAAGGCCAAGGGGGTCCAAGATACCAAGACCCCCTTTTGCCTTGGGTTGAGTGACTGAATTCCATGCAACGC